TCAATTTTACAAAATTTTAATTATTTGTAAATTTTTCAATTAAATATATATTATTAGATAATAAAACTTCAAATAAATTTCAAAAAAAAATCAGCAATTAAACTTTCTCAAAAAAATTAATTCCACAGAATCGTTAGTTAGAAATGTTAAAAATTCAGATTTTCAAAGATTTTAATTTGAAACCTTTTCAAAATTCAATTTATTACTTCTAAAAATTCAGGCTCTAATGCATTTGAAATTCAATTATAATCTAAAATTTTAACTGAAATACATTTTTAAGTCAATGTTTATGAGAAAATTCTACTAGAATTTAATTATTTAAACATAAAATAACAATTTATTGAATAATTGCATGTTTCTTAAAATTAAGATCTAATAAAGAATTTTATTATTTACGAAAATAATTGAATCCCGGTAAAAATTTTATTATTTATAAAAGTAATTGAATGATTGCGAAGAAATTTATAAAAAAAATTTATAAATAATTAAATTCTTTTGAAGAATTTTAATTAAATTTTTAAGAATAATAATATTTTTCGAGGAATTTAATAAAAATTGTATTAAAAATAATTGATTTCTTTTGGAAAATTTTATTAAAAAAGTAGATATTGAAAATCATTGAATTGACGAGAATTTTTTGAAAATAATTGAAATTTGTCCAAGAAAAAATTTATTGAAAAATTGGTAAAGAATTGAATTCCTATGAAATTTTTATTATTTATGAAAATAATTAAATTTCAGAGAAGAATTTTGTTATTTATAAAGATAATTGGAATTTTAACAGAAATCCATTTTTAAATAAATTTTTTTTAGAAAATTCTACTAGAATTCAATTATTTAAATACAAAAAACAATTTATTGAATAATTGCATGTTTCCTAAAATTGAAATTTCTCATAAAGAATTTTATCAATAAATTTTTAAATACCTAATTAAATTCATTTGACGAATTATAATAAAATTTTTAAGAATAATTACATTTTTCGAGGAATTTGATTAAAATTGTATTAAAAATAATTGAAATTCTGCAATGATTTTTATTATTTATGAAAATAATTGAATTTATAAAATGAATTTTATTATTTACGAAAATATTAATATTAATATTAATATTTTTAAAAATAAATGAATTTCAAAGAAGAATATAATTATTTTTAAAGATAATAGAAATTTTAAAAAGAATTTTAAAAATTTTTTGAACATAATTGAATTTCTGCTAAGAATTTTATTACTTTTGGAAATAATTGAATTTCTGCAATCATTTGTAATTTTTCTAAATTCTCCAAATTATATCCTACAATTTACGACCTTTTCGTCTTTTTCAATCAAACTACGGACTTTACGGACCTTTTTTCAAAAAAATAGACTTTTGCGGACTACAAGCAAAACGGACTTTTATGGGATTTACGGACCTAGTTCGAGCCCTGAGAGAGTATAGATTTACAGAGCAGAAATTCACAGCAATTTTAGTTTTCTTTACTTTGAAAATGGTAAAAATTAGTTAATATCCATTTCCGTATAATAAATAAATAATCAATAATAATGAAATTAGAAAAGGAATTTATTTTCCACGAATGAAACATTTTCTCCAGTCAAGCCAAAGTAAAAGATTCAAAGAGAAATAGCTTTTACTTTTATATCTTATCTAGAAAATGAGATGAGCGCTGAGAAAGTTCTCAACTCATGCACATTCAAAATGAATCTAAGAAATGAATTTGAAGAAATGCACAAGCGTCGTCATTGCAATAGTGTCAGAGAAAAGACAAAAGACGAATGAAAGAAAGAGAGTAGAAAATCCTTTCTTGTCATTTCATTTATGTTGACGCAATGCACTTTAATCCTTTTTTACACATCTTTCAAAAACCTTAAATCCCCTACTAAAAATCATAAAACTCTTTATATATTCGTACACCAAAAAATCACTATATATCATGCATCCTATTGAAACTTCAAAAAAAAAGAAAAAAAGATCCAAGATAACTAATCTCAGGAAAAATATTTGTCACTACTTTTTTGGAGTCACAGGTGTGTGAAAAATCTTTAAAAGATAGGAAATAACTTTCAATATTAAACTTTTTTTATGACGAGAAAAAGTCCGTAAAAATAAATCTCTCCTTTCTCGCTTCAATATAAATTTCAAAGTATTAAAGAGAATAAGAAAAAGAAAAAAAAAAGATAAATAAAAACAATATTTAAATACAAGAGTTAAGAAAAAGTTTTTACACACTCCGTTTTACAACCTACTTTCTACTTTTTTATTATTATCATTTAAAAATGCTAAACAATTTGAAACAATAAATTTGTAAATATATATAGTAAAAGAAGAATTGTTTCCAGTTAATTATAGCTGTTTTTTTAAAGTTAGACATTATTGGAGTTTTATGAAAGTTGGCACGAACTTCGGAAATGAGAGGAAATAAGTGAAATTGCATTCGTTTGGGAAAGCGCGCGCAAAGGCGAACGATGCTTTTTCCTCATCCTGGGTGTAAATTGACTAAGTTAAATATGAGTAGAGTAGTTGAAACAAAATAGTTATTCGATCCTCATTCTATCCTCGCTAAAACTTGAATCTTTCTATAATTAACAAGAAATTCGTAAACAATTAAAGTGAAGAGAGAAAGAGAGACTCAAAACAAGAATCTTATCTCACTTGACGTCTATATACATATATATATCACTAAAACCCTGTACCCTTATAAACTTCCGCATTTATCCTCATACCCCAGTTTTCAACCCTCGTCATCAATTTGCTTTATATCCATTCCCCTCTAGTTCATGTCACTCCTCCTATATATGAGAACCATAACCAGCGAACAGTCGAAAACTTCCCTGCTACAAAGTATTTCAACTTACTCGTTCACTTTTTTCAATTCTTTGAAAACCCTTCTCAGAAAACTCTTTTAAGGGAGGTCGCGGCTCTCTCAGATTGCACAAAATACCGAGTCACTCGATTTACCGAGTTAAGTGCACCATGGCTCAGCTGAATTCCTAAAATGTGCACATTCTTCAACAATTTATCAAAAAAAAGGGAAAATTTTTTCTTAAATTCACTTCTTAATACATCAAAGGAAAATCTCTAATAATGTTATTCACACTTCTTTGTGAAAAGCACTTTTTTAAAGAAAATTTTTGTTTAAGAAAGCTTTCATCCGAAAAATACATCCACACTAAGAGAAAAAATTAATTTTTACTAAATATTATTAGCAATTATTATTAACAAGAAATATTTTTAATTAGTAAACCATGTTGCTGATAATTTATAATTTGACCCAATTATTTAACTGAATAATTAGTAGAAACTTACTGATTCAGTTAGTATAATAATTATTATACTGATTCAATAAACTACTGATTCCCTTTAAAAATACGGACTTTACGAACCAAAAATAAAAAAATTCCGGACCACTTATTGACAAAAATATAATGAATATAACTAGTCCTAGTCAAATAAGTGAACACTAGAGGGTGTTAAATTAATATACATTTTACATAAGGTTAAAATAACACCAAAATTGTGTTAAAACAACATCATCTGAAAACTACACGCAACAAATTTAACACACATTTTTTTCTGTGTGAATAAGTTGAATTAAATTTATATAATATACATAAATATTATCGAAATTAAAAATTTTATTTCGTTCTATTTCTATATGAAATATTGAAGAGACCAAACAAAAAAAAGCACGCAAATTTGCAAGAATGATTTGTATTAGTTATTTATTAAAAGCAATTTTTCCGATGGATCTAGCCAAAAACAATGTTTGACAAGATCAAAAATCCATCAATTTTTCGAAAATTCGACATCAATCGAAAGGATTTTTTTTTCGTAAATCTTTACAAAAACTATGGTAATGAAGAGCCAGTTGCAACTGGGAGATCTACTATGAAGATAAAATCCAATATCAAATCTCAATTGTACAAACTAAACGAGGTGACAGAAAAAAAAATTCGATTAACTGATTCACTTTGTCATTGCTCTGATTGACTGTCAAACTTGATTTCCGTAGAGATTCGATGTGTCCTCCACTACTCTACAAACGAACCAAATTTCAAATTCAAAACATTCTCAAATAATGAAATAAAAAAAAAATTTTTCATTCACTTTCAAACATCAAAGATATTCAAGGCAATGTCAAGTCACGAATTTAAATATTTATTGAAGATAAATGAACAACTAACTAATTTGCTAATACAGTGAAAGTTCTTTAAATCTGAATTTGAATTTCTAAATTCAAACCATCACTTTTGTTTTTTATTTTATTTTAAGAACATTTCCTATTTTCACCCCAAATAATAACAGAATTCCCACTGTGATACAATAATAGTAGATTCATCTCTCTCTAATGTTTATTTATCCTGAAATTTATTTCCACGTTTCCGAAACGATATTAATCATAATAATTTAATCTTTAAATTATCACATTACTGAATTTTTCTTCATATGTGAATTTCGAAAAAGTTAATCTAATCTTCATTAACACAAATTACCATTTTTCATAATTTCCCAAATTTCATTCCTCATGAAAGTGGCATTTTTGAATTATCGCACGACATAGGTAATAAATTTAGTAATAAAATTTTCATTTAACCTATATTTCATTTCGACGCAAGAGCACACGTTTCTATAATTATCATTTCCAACACATACTGTAACATTAACGTTAAATAATTTTTTTTAATAAAAATAATATCTCCTGATCAAAAAATATCCGAAGGGACATGTCGAATTATTTAAATTCTCTATATTTAATCATACTAAGGATATTTCAAAGTATACTTATAATTTTATTATAAAAGTTAGACTAATGCAATTATTATTTTACGCAATTATTAAATTGCATAAAAATAAAGTTTGGGTCAAATTGACCCAGAGTGTTAGCGGCGTGACAAAAAATTTGTCAACGGAAGGTTAAATCGACCTAACGAAGGCAAACCTGAATGTTTGCCTGTTTCATAAAATATGGGGTAATTATCATGCTTAAGAAAAATTCGACTAACCTGTTCTGTTGTTCGGCGACAGTGGCAGATACAAGATTGGCTAAACGCTGACCGAGGCAACGGGGTTGCTCGCCCCGTCGCGGTGCTCACCGACCTTCGAACCGCTCAAAAGCGGCTCGACCTTCTTCGTTATTCACCCTCGAACCGGACACCTCCGATCCACATCCGGTTTGCGCAACAAAACCTTTTTCCTTCGCCTTATGCATTCCAGAATTCTGAAAAATAAAAAAAGAAAACATTTTTAGTTTTCTCCCACTCCTTCGCTCTCCACCAATCTAAAGCAAATCCACCGATATCTCGAACGAATTAATTTAACTTTCTCTAACAAGATTGATACATTCTCTTATTTGACTCGGACTTGTTATTATTTGTCAGTAATTGATCCGTAAATGGTCCATACTTCTTTATTTTTTGTCCGTAAAATCCGTATTTTTAAATACTTTAACTGATTCGAGCCCTGGTATTCGGAATTTGAATTCAATATAATAAGTTTAGGGTTCATTGCCTTTTTCTCAAAGTCAATTCTTCGCTTCGTGAAAATGGCGCCAGGGGAGATAATAGGCACGTATTTTCAGGAGAATACATCGATTTTTGCTTAAGGTACATATTTCTTCCATCTTCAAGAGTTGCTATAGGATGAACCATTGTGTTAGAAAACGAGTCGATAGTTTGTCGGCTAAAGCAGCTGATATCGCTAAATCCGGCGTTAACATAGATAGTAAACGAACTTTTTCCCTCTCTCTCTCTTTCTCTATTTCTTCCCTCTTTTCTTGTGAAAAGAAAGCAAAGAGTGAAAATGAGAAAATGAAGAGAAGATTGAGGTGACCTTCTTTTTAGAAAACACTAAACGATGTAACTTTTATCGGCGAGTTCTCACGACTTACAAACTAAGCAACAGCTTCTTCGAAAGAAAAGGAGAGACTTATTTAAACTTTCAAGATGAGGACTGGACGCATTTAAGTCTTAAGTTTCCAAACAAACTTGTAAACAACTGTAATATCAACTCACATTTTACTTTTTCATATAACACGAGAAGTGGAAAAAAATAAGGGAACGACATTAAAAGGAATTAAAAAAAGTTAATCACTTATTTCAGTTGTGAATGAAAAAAAAATTAGTTTCGATTCGAAAAAAAACAAAACAGAATAAACAGAAAAGCAGTTTTTTAATGTTTCTGCAACAGTTTATTAGTTTTCGCACAAAAAAACTATTATTCGGAAATTTAATATCGAAACACAACAGTTTCTTCATTAATCATCGTCAGGAAGGGATGCGAGATGAGGTCAGGTCATTGTATTGACGTTGGTAGCAAGGTATAAAGAATTACTTTTGAGGTCATGTTCCGGTACCTTCCTTCAAAACGTCTATCTAGTTCCGATAACAAAACCTGACACTATCTTCCCCCTACCTTTTCATTTTTATTTTCTCAACTCTATATTACTTTCGTCTTGCATTATCCAAAACTCAATCACTAAAATCACTTTTGATTCCATTAGAAAATTTCCCTCTAGTGCTTATTCTTTTAAACTCGAGGAAATAGAGGTTTAATCGAAAGTTATATGCACTTCAGAAAAAATGTAAGTTTAAAGGAAATATAAAACTGAAATGAATTCGAATAATTTATGTTGCTAGAGTTAGCGTCTACTTTTAATAAAAACAAACTTCTTCTACATCAAACTTATTACCCTTAATATCAAAATTTTTAGAGAATATTTAAAAAATACTTTATGTGCCATATATTGCAAAAAGATTAACCCATTTTCTCTCATAATTTTCTTTTCATGTAAGCTTCTATTTTCAATGGCTACTAATCTATATAGAATTTTCCTAAGATATATATATCTGTATAATCTGATGCTGACTAATGAAATACATAAAGAATTCTGAAAGTAATCATTTTCAAAAATAAGGTATTTTATGTCCCTAAATTATTTACCCAAAACATTTAGGTCAATTTTTGAAAAGTTTTAGATTTGTAAAAGTGACCTAAACAGTTCTACATCCTAAATGTACGAAGGTATTTTTATGACCAACAGAATTAAAAATAGTTTTCGACGCTAAGTGTCCAACTTTAAAGATTCAAATTTTTGATTTGAAAAACGAAAAAAAAATCGTAGAAAATTTTAGTTTCGAATGTTTCTAATTTCGAATATTTCCACAACACTGATTTCTATGCATATTAATACTGAATCCATTGTAAACTATTATAAACCCCTTCTTGGACAAACAATCTATCCGTTATGTATTCATTGCTACAAATTTGAACCTAAAAACAAAATTGTTATTATCCAACCAACAATTTGTGCTTGTTGTTCTGACAAGTTGATTCTATTCCTATGCAACGCAACCATATATGCACATGAAGATAAATTTTATGTTATTCTTATTGAGATGTAAATTTGTTGCAGTACAGCAAAAGCAGTGTATAGCTTACAATCTGCATTGTAATGGAAATAAACTCACTTGTAATGAGAGTAAACAGAATTTGCGATTTTATATTAACGATCCCTTTCCCCCGCAAACAATATATCATTCTCCAGTATATAATAAAAAACCAGAGTTTTAAACATAAATCATAGTCTCAATATTATGCGAGGACATCTAAATTTCCAAATAGATTTTCAAGTTTCCCCTTCGCTCGTATATCCGAACAAGTATTTCTTCTTTATTATATTTTCAACTCTTATAAGGAAAAAAAAATCACATCACTCTCAATGGGAATGACAAAGATATTCGGGAGGTTTATACGGAAAAACCTTTTGCTTCTCAGAAATAGACTGTGACTAAAAAAATGTTACCCATGAGAATGGGAAAAAAGATGGAAGAAAAAGAAAAAAAGATTAACGGCGACAAATAAGAGGGAGGTTAAAAAATTTACCAATACACTCCACTATGAAGTGAGCTTGTTAAATTTTTTGATTCCTTGCTTCTTTCTACACGAAAGAAAAGGATTTTTAATTTGTGTTAGATTTACTCGCAACTGACGCAACAGAATTTAAACCATTTAGATTCCTGAAGTTAGCGACAATCTATTTAGGTGTTAAAATTTCTCAGGACAGTTTTAAAACCTAAAAACTTTGCGGAAAATAATATTTCTACGCTTAGGCGTCGATGCTAATTACAGGGACGCTACAATATGAAGGCGCAACCATCTTTGCGCATTAACATTGGTTAAAATAACCCGCAACAAAAACAACATCATCCTTTTTCTGTTTATCATTCCATCCTAAAGCAAAAAGAACACAACCAACCACTGTTTTCATCGCAAGAAACATTATTACAAAATCGATACTCATCAAATCGAATACACGATAGGAATTTGATTTCTAAGATTCGATTCGGTTTTTCTTTCAACATTACGGATATATACTTGGTACGGAGAAAAAGAATATAAGGATATTCTCTTTTCCAGACAAAAGTGCAAGGGGAGAGGAGGGCAATGTGAGTAACAGAGCAGATTTAGTATTGTGTGGGGCAAAGTGGTGCCAATGCTCCCTCTTCTGGTCCCTCACACTATGAAATCAATATATTGGTCGTCCGTTTACTCCAACTCTCTTTTCCGCAATGGCGGTTATATTTCATGATATCGGATGTACACAACATTTTTACATCAATGGACACTAAAAGAAAAACATTTGAAGAATAGCTATATATCAGAACTATAAAAAAAGTAAAGTACACAGCACTATAGAACATTTTTTTATCTTCAATAATATCGAATAAGTTTTCAAAAATATACATACATCATCATAAACGCAATATTGTATGTTCATTTGACAATATAGTAATTATAACAATAGTCTTACGGCTTCCGTTGGTTTTTAGGCTTTCGATTAACATTCGGAAGCATGAAACATTAAACTGGCTTACAGTTGGTCCATTCATCATAGAGACTAGTTTCCTGAAAGCTGGATCAAGGGCGAATCACATTTGTGCTAAGCGATTCCAGGCTTTGAAATGAATCGCATTATCGGAACTGAACCGAACCGAGGACAGAACGTTCCGTTTCCCTATTGAGCGATTCCTGGACCACCAGCAATACCCCTAATGCTCTATCAGGAATATGCAGATACAACCAATGAATTCTGCTGGGTGCAGTGGCCGCAATTGCAGATGCTTCACGCACGATGCTGCATATTATCATTTACCAATGTACATACGTCCATGGTATTCACTATTCAAGAAATTCTCTTAACATAAATCACGATGTATTCCAAACATGTATAACAAATCTTTTGTACATAACAAAAAAAAGAAGGAAATTTTTAACAAGTGTGCCATAACTTTTGAAAGTTTAAACTTTATGTAAGCAAATCTTACAGTAATAATAAATATAGTTATTTGGAATCGAAAATAGATCCATAATTCACAGTGGCTTACGTTGATATTTGATATCGGATTTCTAAGGGATATTGTACCACACATACAATCCAGATTAAAGGTGACACTGCATTTATCGTACCATTCACAATCTAGATTGTATGTTAATATGGAACTAAATGGATTACGCCGTATACAATCTAGATTCCCCTAAAAGGATATAGTACTACAGACGCACTAAACAGTAAAATCTAGATCGTAAACATTCAAATCTAGATCCTCAATGTTTATACGAATTTCACCAAGAGGAGAAATCACGATACCATTCCCTTTTTTTTTGTATCAAAAAGAACTATTTATTTTCCTCTATAAAACTTCAATTATACATCAAAAACAACAATTTCGTTTGAAATATATAGTATTTGGGAAAAAATGCCAATCCCGTGAATTATTCATCAAATAAGTTTTCTCACAGGAAGCACTATGCATATATATATATTCTTGCACGGATCACTTAACTTATAGTTTACCGAGCAATAACTCGTTCTTCGCTTCCGATATACGTGCACACCAACACATTCACATAGTCTACTGGATTTGACAAAGCGTACGATCCAATTTCGAGACACCCTCTAAATCCCCGAGGCTCAACGGTGAATCGTCGATTAAACCAAACCGACGGAAAGGAGGGAAACGATACGGGGAAGAGAAAATGAAAAAAAAAAAAAAGTAAAACAAAAAAAAAGCAATACCTACAGCTAGACATTATTCACCGAACCAAACTGGCCTCCAGTGTACTAGTAGAATCGTGCTTGAGCAATTTGTAAACCGCGCAGTGAAATTTCAAAATCGTTTCCAATTGTTCTTTAAAAGTCAAACATTAAACAAAGAAAAA